TCTTTTACTTCCTCAACTCCTCAGAAATTCCTATGCTCTCGTGGAAGACAAAAGAAAATAAATAATGCAAAAATACTGTGAAAAACGAAAGAAAAGGATGTGAGTAAACTTAATTACATATTACATTAATTAACATATACAATAAATGTGATATTTATTTGAGTTCACATCTTACTTAGATAAAACAATGTAATATTTCTTTTAGAAATTTCAATTTTATCATTGTTTTCGATTTTACTGCAATTTCCTTTCAATTGATATAATATCTTGATATAAAAAATGACTTTCGCATTAGTGTAAATTTGTGATGATACCTTCCTTTTATTATCAAAGTAAAATTTGTATTTCATTTATTATTTTATTTGTTTATTTCAAGTTTTTCGAATACATCCTTGTTTTATTTAGTTAGCTCAATTATCTATCCAAATCGACACAATTAAGATCAACTTAAATTACTTCAAAAACTATTTTTCATTTCATTGGATATTAAATTAGAACAAGATTAATATATGATCACAATACATTACTACTAATTTTAACAGTTATTGTAATTAAAAAGTAAAAAATCTCTCCAATTTCCCCTTCCCTTCCCCTCCCCATTTTCCCATTTTTAAATTTTTCACTTTTTATTTTTTTTTCAATGAGACACTTTTTTGTTGGTTACAATAATTTTTATTGACATAACATTAATGATGTCACTTTTAATTACATGAAACATAATAATATCACCTTTTTTTATTAATGTGATACTTGAAAGTTTCACAATCAACGTCTTTATCAATTTTGGACCTTACTTAAAAGTGCAACGAATCAGAACCTAGAGTTAAAAAAAAATCTGTATAGTGTTTTTTTTTATTTGTAAATTATTTCATATAACTTTTATAAACAGATTGAAATTATTGTTTCTTTTTATTTCTCATTTTGTTGTATGTATATTAAATTGTGTTACGTATTATTTAATTTTTTCTGGTTTTTATATATATAGTTTTGATGTGTTGCATTCATACTAATTATAACTCGTCGTAATTTATCACCACGTAACGAATTAATGATGATTGCTTATTTTTCTAACAACAGTTACGTCAAAATTCAAATTATAAAAGAAATAATACTAAACGTTGATGTATTGTTAAAAGTGTACACGTGGAGTCTAAAATAATTCAAAATGCAAGTAATAACCATTGAGTTATTAATGTAAAAGTTAATGGATTAGTGTAGTTTATATGTAACAAATTAATTGGATGAATAATTATATCCAACATATATATTTGTAATCCTTTGAATCAATTAATTCAAAATTCAGTGGTCGAGCCCAAGTTTTGAAGGGAGAGTTCCTTGTATTGAACTGTGTATCAGTATTTGAATTTCCTTTTATGAAATTACTTTTAGGAAAAAATAAGCTGGAATACATGGAATGAAGGAATTTTATATTAATCTATAAAATTATAAAGAAAATGATAAATATTTATAATCCATCCTTTGTAATGAATTGAAAATCTATCAAATCTCTATGACACTCTGCTTGTCACTGCTACACAACTGTTGAGAACTCTTGAGTATTGAGTATGAAAGATCTGCATGAAGCCTATGAGAACTGACACGTGATTTGTTATCCTTTTCTTAAACATATAAAAAATACAAATTGAATTTTTAATCGGTGAAAACGTGTTCATATTGTTTTGACCTGAGTAACATCTTACTAGAGTTATAGTTTTCATATTTTATATAAATTTCTTAGGAGTCCAAACTCACCCATGATGTTGTATTTTCCCATGTGGTCGATAAAGTATTAATAGAAGGATGGATTTGAGTAACACTTAGAGAAGTGTATTTGATTTAACATTAGAGTGTTTAAGAGTTATTTGGGGTTAGATAAAGGGTATCTGAATGAGAAGAATGTCTGAAATGAAGATTGAAAGTTGTAGTGATTGAAAATGATTTGAAGATAAATGATTGAGTGTGATGAACTTAAGGATGATATAATAGAGAGTTGGAGATAGAAGAGTTTGGCATTAATAAGGTAGACTTAGGGGTATGTGGTGGGTGGGTCCAGTTGAGAATATGAAAGAGGTGAAGCCATGTGTAGAAGGTCCCCTATGGGTTTGTTTGATAGTTGAGGAGTGCTTTTGTCTTTGCTGTTGTTTCTTTCATTCCCACTGATGCAATTTGTATTAAAATCTTTCATTCTCTTGCTTTCAGGCCACATTAGGTAACCTTATGTTAGAAAGGAGTACCAAAACCCATGTGATCTGGTGTGTGCTTGGTCACATTGAGGATGAAGCTCGAGAACTTGTGGGGCTGCCCTGGGACAACTCTTGTGCCACAAACAACAAGGGAAAATGATGCCTGATTGCATGTTACCCCCTCGTGGGAATATCGTACCTTGGTACAAAAACAAAGCTTTTGACAAGTACCAGACAGTTAACTTGTGAGCCCCGTTACCAAGCCTCTCTTCCCATTCAACAAATCAAACCCATCAAATAATTCACACTCCATTCTTCCATTTTCCTTTTACATTCCACACTATGCATGCTTTCAATTAGCCATCAGTTTTTTCTGATCAATCAAATCTCTTCAAGACACTTTTCACAAATCATGCCACAAAAACCGTCCACAAACCACAACCCCTTTTCTTCTTTCTTTTTTCTGCAGTGAGTTACGGTGTCCCACTACTATTATAGCACCAAACCACCAAATGATCTCGGAAGAGAAAGCAAGCATTAGGTTAATCATCGGATCCTGTATTCTATATATAGACACAATATTTTGAGAAAAAGGTCAAGATGGATTACTTTTTTCTGGTATATTTTAATTGCTGCAATATTGTAGCATGTGTGAGGCACTTACGTAGTAATCTACCTAATCACATGCTTCATAACAAAAAAAACTACACGGGGTGAGAGTAAACGGATTAAACTGTTACTAATAGAGATTACATAAATGATTGGCAGAAGTTGAAATCGTGAAGCATTGAAATGTGTGTTGAATGATGAGTGTAGATTCAGAAGCTGAGGTTGACTTGGTGCCTCTTTTTGCTCACAATCTTATGGGCTCCCTCTGACCCTGACTCTCTGAATATGTGTCGGTGGATGCATTTACTATACTGGAATACGAATGGAACGGCTCTTCCGATGTGGGAGTATCACATGTCCAACTTAAAGGTTGGCCCCAAGATATGTGTTTAATCTCATTGCAAATCCTACTTTCTTAATAATAAATGTAACAAGTTTCCTTTGTTTTTCAAATTTAGATTTCAAAATCCTGAAAAGCTTTGTACAACAACTCAGTTTTTCTTCCAATGAAATGATCAAGCAAAATAGAAAAATGATTCCTTCGGTGAAAGTGATATATTTCACATGCTTTTGACGATCATGCTTTCAAAGTGCTTTTATTTGTTAATCTGGAATTGCTTTGAAACAGATGGTGTTGCTAAAGAAGTAAAAGAAAGAAAATAAAAAAAAGGGGTAGCTGAAAAGGATTAATTAAAGAAAGGTAAACGAAAAGGATTAGATTTGCATGGTGATATACAACTAAGTTGTTATGGATTTAAGGCACAAAAAGCTTGACCATTGATGTTTGTCTAGATTTAAAAACTGATAAGGTGTGTGTGTCGGGTCATAGGGTAGCCAAATCAGTACCCAGTGCCAGCAAATGGTGTTGGGAGTTAAATGGATATGTGTAATTTTTTGGGATTATCTTTTTGTTCTTTGATTACTTTCGCTTTAAATCATTCTTAAGTTGCAACCCATTATTCATACAGCAAAACATGGGAGCAGCATAACTCTGTGTGTATCTTGTGCTATCATTGAATAGCATCCAAAGAATCATAATGCATAAACAAAGAGGATTCTGGATATTTTCAATTGGCTTCTTCACATGTACTTTCATCCCTTCTTTCTTAGTTGCTTCTCATGCACGTGGCCCTTTATTTCATATCAACATACCCATCCATTTCGTTACTCCTTTTTTTCTTTTTTAATATCAATATGCAATTAATTTTTTTTTTTAATTCCATTCTATTCAATTATCCTATTCATGGTACATTATTTTTCGCTCAAAAGAATGACCGATACAAGTCAACGGCAGCTGAGCCCAAGTTCATGTTTCGCACTGGGTTATTTATCTGGGCTTATACAAAGATCTTTCCTTTTGCACCCCTTTTCTCTCCTTTCGTCCCCTCATGTCATTTTGATAATTATTATGGTTTATACTTGGTGTAAGCCCAACTTTAATTTTTCTTCTTTAAATTTTGAGAAAGTAAGAAAAATAAAAGGATTCTTTAGAATTGCCCTAAAAGAGATGGCAATGTGTCATTAATTAAACACTGTTTGTTTATAATTCTCTATGAAACTTCATGAAATTATTATTAGGGTATTTATGATTATGTGCTTTGTCCTTACATGTAACGCTCCGGCAACATATAAGGAATATTGTTTGTCACCACACAACTCCAGGCTAAGCTCGCTTAACCATGGAATTCTTATGGGTTAGGCTACCGAAAAACAAATGTATTTTGGTGATATGAGTAGCCAAATCAATCCCTTTAAGCTATCCTTCAACATAGTCTCATACCTATACAATCTCTAGATCCCTCTCATTCCGGTGTATCTTCGATTCATCATGTGTCCATTCCACTGGAAGCCTGCGAGGAACCGCTCCTTGTTAGTGTCCCTTGCACTTCGTGCCTTTTGTATCGACGATCACTCCCCGCCCTCGTCAGTGTCCGGATGTCACATCAATTTTATATTTAATGATCGATAAAATCTGGCCAACTTTATTAATGATTGGTTAATTGAGAGCATAGAATCTGGTCAACTTATAATGATGATTATAGTTCTATAATAGGGTTAATATTCTGGAGATTGTTCAATTGACCATGTGTTGGTAATATTGATTAATCTGAATGCTGATTAATCTATCTAAACGTAAACTATAACGATTCAATTAAAAAAAAAATTCATTGAAGTAAAATAATTATACATCGATTATTACTAATGAAAACATCAAATACTCATCACTGGGCGACAAAATAATGAAGGATCACTAGAGATAATTAAGATAGAACAAGAGAGGTTTACATTCATAAACAAAATTCCAAAAGTTTTATAATTAGTAGTTTATTTTGCAGAGAGAAACTGATAAACTTGATTTTTGTTTCATTTATCCTGGCTGAAGAAGTGGTTAATGGTTGGCATAATCTCTGGTGGTCGAGTACGAAGAAACTTCCTCAGACTATGCTCAGCATATTTCTCTCCCTCTTCTCTGTTATCCAACACTGCCATGCTGCGTCGTGTTTTGTTAATCCTACACCAATTTTCCAACCAGAATTAATCACCAAAATACTGCATTCAATCCATTATCATATCATTTCATTCAAATAATAATCTGATTACAAAACGTTCAGTTCTTATCATTGGGAGTATGTTCGTAAAATATTCATAGGGTTTTATAACGTAGGTCCATCTGTTTTCATCCGAAATGTATTTTAAGGAACACCCACCTTAACAAAAAATACGTTGACTATGTAAAAATCCTTATACTAATTTCATGTGAAAATTAAGCTCTTAGTTAAAATTTGACTGAGTTGAATAAGCTTTACCTAACATCAGGGTTTTGGAGCACATTTCTTGTTAGTTGGAAGACACACATGGTGGTGACAAAGGTCATTGCAGCCAATAGAGGGTAGACCTAAAAAAGATACAAGAAAGTGAGAAAGCACATGATTAATGATTAGACTGATAAATGAAGTAAATTAAATTATGCATGGTAGTACGTACCTCTGGTTTCATCCAGCGTCCCATTAATTCGAATAATGTTCCTCTCGTGAACCTTGAAGGTGTTTTTGATACTGTTACAAAGAACAATGGCGGTTTTGATCTTGATTTTGTTACTTGGAATGTCTGTGTGCCATCTGTATAAATAGTAGCTGTTAATGCAGAATTTGGAGGGCTAGTTTGAAGAGTTGGCATGCAAGTGTGGTATACAGTGGGCTGTGTGAAAACATAAAAATATTTGACTTTTGGAGAAAACTAGGGGCTGGCCTCATGTTTTCTGGATTTTTTAAGGTAAGAATTTGCCAGGAATGACCCAAATAATAGGCAATAGGGTAACGCAGTTATTCACGACAGCTTCAATCAGAGATAAAGGGATCACGACGTGGAAAATTAATATCACACTTTCTTGTTTCAAGGGACGAAGAATTGACCTGCTTGGTCAGACTCTTATCTTTTCTAGTTTTTTTTTTTTTTTTTTTCTGAACTATTAAATTTTTAACTATTTTTATAACCCTGCTTTAATACAAATGACGTGAACTCAATTAATGAATTACTTATTTTAACATTTAATGGATTTAAAGTTTAATTCATTGTGAACGTATAAATATAAATATAAATACATAAGATTTTTTGTTAATTGGTTTGCTTATATTCTTAGCATATTTGTATCATAATATCTTAAATACCGTTTTTAATA